TCTGCAGAGGGAGGTTCAATGAAGAATAAATATACCAGTTAGAGTTTATTTTACCGTTGTTAAGACCCAACACAGCTGAACACAAACTAAAAAAAAAAGTAATTGTGTCTTTTCCATACATTTTAATAGGATTTAAGAGCTCATCAAGTTCAATGTGTGTTTACATTGACAGTGCCAATGTTCTGACCTGGGCTCCACAGACAGGAAGTTGGGCAGCTTGACAAAATAAAGGTCAGATCCGAGGTCAGTGCTGACTTTGGGGATCTCTACTTCGATACGAGTTTCAGGTGCAGGCTCCTCTTCTGCGTGTTCCCCCTCCATCCCATCGTCTGCATCCTGGGCCGCACACACACAAGAATATTTTAGAAAAACATGTATGATTCAATGACCTGTGATTATAGGGATCAGCTCAGAAACGGTTAATGAGAGGCTCTGAGAAAAGGAGATTTGGGAACCCTTGTAAAAAGGACTCTGCACAATTAAAGAGTCGTGATGATCAGTGCACAAAAGAGATGGAGTCAGAAGAAAGGCAGGTACCAGGGGCTGTCCTGGGGTCAGAGGCTTCTCTGCATCGCTGTCTGAAGAAATGTCGTCAGCTTCTCCAAACAGATCATCTGCTGCAGTTTTCTTTACTGTTGAACGAATGAAAGGCTGTTCAGATTTGAACTGTAGATGATTTGATGAACTCTCTAGTTTAGGTTTGTGGTCAAAATGCTTATCTGCTTAAACAGTTTCTTACCTTTCTTTGTTCCGATGTCACTGTCTGAATCTGAATCAGATGCGGCTTTTGCTTTGGTTTTCTGTCTGAGGAAATCATCTTCACTATCGCTGCCCTTTGCGGACTCTGAAAAATCCAATCACAATAAGCCACATAAACAGTATAATTTCCAGATGACAGCACAGTATAAATTAAAAAGGAACAAGACACACGATGAGGAGGATGATTAAAACATGCAAGAGGTCTACAATAAAATGTATACAAATCAAAGTTGTAAAATTAACCACAGGGCTCAGGGTTTAATTTTCACATGTGGTCTTAACACAGGTCTTGGTCAACACTTGGTCATAATCCAGTTCCTCTGTCTTTAACACCAAACAATGGGAGTACCTGACTTCCTGTTCCTCTGCACCTCGTCATCAGAGTTCTCTCTTTCTTCATCGGAGTAATGACGCTTCTCCTCCTCATCCTCAGACTGGTCGCTCTTGGCCCCTCCACCCCACTTCTCATCGTCTGACTGGTTCTCCCTGCCAGAGGCTTCTCCATCAGAGTGTGGAGTGGCCGGCCCCGACTGTGGTGTCCCAGGATCACTGTGCACGCTGATTAATAACAAATACGTTGAAGGGAATAACTCCAGGATGATTTTATTTCATGTGATAAGTTAAATAAAGAGAGCTTGTTCTAGTACCTTCTGTCTGAACGCACACTGCCTCTCTCAGAGTGAGGGCTCCCTCCTCCAGACATCCCGCTGCCAGCCGGGCTTCCTCCGTCCGACCGGTGGCCCCTGTCCTCGTCGTCTTCATCCTCGTCCCTGTGGCCGCGCTCTGAGCCACTGTGCTGCTCTGCGTCAGAGTGATCGTTGTCCCCCTGGTCTGAGTGCATGCTGGCGTCCGACTGATTCCCAGACCGCTCAGACTGGTTGTCGCTGCCGCTGCGTTGACTGTGCTGCTCATCCTCACTGTCGTCTCCAAACAGCTCCTAGTAGGCAGAAGGAAAGGTGAGTAACTTGAGCTGATGTGCAGATTGACATCACTAGTTAATGTTGTCATTGCCATTTGTTCTCTATAACTTCTGACTGTTTATACATGTAAGCGAAATGTTCTGATGGGATTCTTTTCTGGTGTAGATGTCCATTTGTCCTCTTAACTCATGTAATGTGTGACTTCTTGCTTATTTCAACCCTATTACCCTCCCCCCAGGTCATTGAGGGATTTATTTGCAAAGCTGCTACCTGACTAACAAGCTGTTGGAATTTGGACTAAATCACAACTGTGACAGAATTTATATTATTGAATTCAATGATGAATTAAGTGATTTGACAGTGGTGAGGACGGATGGCCGAGCATCTCTGACAGCTGTCTGATCTTACACAGCCACATCTAAACCTCACGCTGTTTTAGCTGAGCAATGTTAGTCTAATGCAAACACACACCTTATTCATACTGGGTTTTCCTGCCCCGTGTCCTTCCTCTTCATCATCATCATCCCGCTCCCTCTCACTGTCGCTGCCGCTGCCTGAGACGTTGCTGGCAGACCGAGGTCTCTCCTGCTCCGAGTCGGAACCAGAGCCAGAAGCAGATTCTAAAACACAAGAGAGAGCAGATTAATACAAAACATGTATTAACTTGTGTTCTCATTGCCTCATAAAATATTCCACACAACTGGACTCCTCTCTCACACTGTCAATAAAAACAAGGCAGGATTTATGACTGAGCTGTCATAAAGTTAGTAAAAAAATAAATAAAATAAAACACTAAACAAAGTAGCTTACTCTTTACTTTGAGATGCTCCCTGAGGCAAACCTAAGATATCTAATTAATTGCAGATGTATAATGACGGTTTATCTAATATTTTTGCTGCTGTGCTTTTCACCTAATATCAATCTGGGATGTTGGGACTGTGAGTGTGTGGGAATGGGATGGGATGTGGTTGTTATAAAGCTGTTATATCTTCTTTTTTTAAATGTATCTTTCTCTCTCTCTCTATTGTAGGAGAGAGTATTAACTACGCAAAGGATTAGACTCAAAGAAATAAGAGTCTAAAAAGAAGCATTTTGTCCATATCGTCCTCATTAAGTGTTCCACAGCTAATAAGCACATTTTAAATCAACCAGAATTTAATATTTAACAGCTGAACCTGGTGTTTTTATGGCAAGTTATTGGAGAAAATGTGAATCCATTGTTAGATAACTTCTACATAAGAAAAGGAAAAGAAACAGGCTTGATATGAAAACACCCAGATGTGGATAATGGTTAGATATAACAAAGATTACATGAATACAATTATGTGTTTATGAGATGAGTTTATCAGAAAAGAGATAAAGACATCAGCTCTGTATAACACCACCATCAATATAAATGAGTAGACAAAGGTGGAACTGTAAAATGCACCTTTTTGTTTTACAGTTTTAAAGTTTTTTTCTTTGTTTTGGTCTTTTTGTTTTGTATTTAAGCGTAAAAGCAATCAAGACTAATGAAGAACGGTACAGTTGTGAGGATATAGACTATTTAGAGTAACCAAAAATAAAATCCACCGTTTAATAAACATGCAGTTTTAGTTAACATCTTATAAAACACACACAACACAATCACATGAAGGTTCAAACACACGTAAATAGTTTCTATCAGCGATCACGAGCTGGAAAACCTCCCGGAGTGAACGTGTGTCCGCTTCACGATCACAACATCCCGAGTTTCACGTCCACCGATCATCTGTTTTTATTGATCTCTACTTAAACTCTCTCTTTCTAACTTCGTCAACCACCAGGCTTCAAAAGGCTGGAAACACGTTCACCTCTCTGCTCGTTGTCGCTGTCTCCATCGCTGCCGAACAACTCGTCCATGTCCGCCATCTTTTCCAAAACTGGAGCGGCCGAGAACTGTGACCCACCGGAAACAAAAGCTGATCACCGGGTTCCGAGGGAAGCTTTTGTTTCCGGGGTCAGGATGAGACCGATCTGGTGTAGTGAGTCCCATCAGCCACTAGGAGGCAGTATACTACCATAGATTGTAGCAGATGGTGACTTGGGCCTGTGTTGGTCTGGGGCTGTGTATATAATGTATACATCTATATTTATATATGTAAAGATTTAAATTGTGGTCTAAAGTGAAAGATGGGAGGAAAGGTCTTAGGTCTGCACATGTCTCTGTATTTGCAGGACTGAATTAAATAATCTATTTTGTTATGAAAGAATGTGTACTATAGTCAATATTTATCCCTGATTGATTATTCCATGCATGTGATCAATCATATCATCAATAAACAGGAGATTAGCGCATAGTTGATGAAATATTTTAACAGGAGGGGGACAAAACATAAGATATCAATACTTTCAGTCTATTGCATATAATGATCCTATATACCATGAATGTAAAAATAGATAATATCATGGCTTTAAAATTTGAATACCAATATTTGAATACCTTTCGATTGCGTGCAGTCAGGCAGGATTACAAACAGGACAAAGTGGGACCTCATGGTAGTACTATGGTTGATGTACTACAATGGTAGTACATCAACCATCAAGGGTCCTGCGTCTTCAGTCGTGACTCATGAAGATGACTCTCAAATGAATATACTAATTCTACAGCAATTTCCTGTTTTGAACGTCATTTGTTGTTGTCCTGCTCTCACTACATTGCAATGTCTTCAGCTAAGTACTACCATGTATCTGTTTTGTACTGATGCAGCCCTCATCTGATCCCAAAGTTTCTGTGTGGCGGGCGAGGCGTCTTGTTACAGTGCACATATTGTGTGAACCGAGAGGGTACATGAAATTCAATACCCTCTATTGTGTAACACAGTGAAAAGCAAACTGAGCATGAGCTCCTCCTGATCTTTAAAGTCAGTGTTAAAGTCAATTCTGCCATATGTACAGGACATAGATGGGATGGAAATGCTGTTTCTCTCTGATCCCCGGTGTAGTGACAGAACATATAAGTACGCACCATATTAAGTACTCTGAAACATGGTACATAGTACAACATAGTATGCACATGGTGGATAGGATGAGAGTAGTGCAAATGTGCAAAATGTAATGTTAATCCACAGGATGTAGTTAAAATACAGCTTTTACCTTTCTTTCTTAAATCTAATTTGGTTTTTTTCCTGAAACATACAAATCTAATTCTAAAATGTTTTTTTTATGTTTTTTTTTTTTTTTTAATTTTAAACAAATTTTAAATTGTATTAAATGTTTAATAATTTTTTTTTTCCATCACATCTCATCTGATTGGTTCTCATAGATAAAGAGGGCGGGCCAGACACGCTCGCTGCCTATTGGCCGGCGGACCCGTCAGTCCCCGCTGCTGTCTTCCGGTGCTACCGCCCTGCGCTCTGAGAGAAATCGCTTTCACTGGATCTGTGCTCGTGTCTGAAGACTCGTCAGCTCGGTTCATTCGTGCTCAGGTAAGACGATGGACGCCTCCGGTGTCCTGATAATCTCTCATCCAGCTAACCCTCCTGTGTAACGTGCTGTCACTCCTGTATGTTCCAAACTGTTAGCAACTTGACTCAACTGCAGATGCTAGCGCGTTAGCTAGCTAGCCGCATCCAATCGGGCTGCATCCGACAAAATGTAGAGAAGCCAAGTTAGCGAAGTTAAGAGTCCGACGCGCGGCTCGTTTCTGCTGTTTCAGCTCCACAGCTAACAGGGGAGGGGTGTTTCTGAGTGATGATCATAGAGATCAACATGTCAACGATCAGCGAGGTCATCACAAACATGTCAGGAACATGTTAGCTGACGTTACTGTGCTGCTCGTCATGTCAAGGAGAAGTGGGTGAGGCAGCCACGTTAGCATCATATGAGCTTAATGCTGAGACATGACGTCAACACCGATCCCAGTATCTGTGTTTGTTTTGACCAGGATGTCAGAGACCTGTGTTTTTAAAGGGTTTTTGTGTGTGTGTGTGGCTTCAGCAGCAGAGCAACTTGTGTGGAGGGTCAGTCAGTCAGTCAGTCAGTCAGTCAGTCCACTGACAGGAGACTTTGTGTGAGGGGGTGATGAGAGGGTTTGTGTGTTGTAGTTTGTCCAGCAGTGTTGAATGAAGGGTGTGGTCCAGGTCTCAGTAAAGACGTCTGCATGAGGAAGTGCTTTTCCCTGGGCAAGCCTCGGGAGGCAGGTGACCCTGCTGGAGCTGTGCAGCAGGTAATGCAGCAGGGAGGAATGTCGTGGTGGCTGCTGACATGGCATCGTTATGGTGATGGTGCACGGTGGCATCCTCTGCAGTGCAGTGCAGTGTCGCAGGTCAACAGATTTGTTTCACCTGCATACCTTTCACTTGAGAGTGAAACCTGCCTGTGAGTATTGGGTTTCGCCCTTTGTGTCACACAGTGAATGGTGGCTGTGATTCGTTTTCAAAAAGGGGTGTGAAGGTGGGGGTGATCTTCCCTTAACCTGTATTATTCATCCTCTAGCACATGCGAGTCCTCGCCTAGCTGGAAGACTGGACACTCCCTGCAGTTTGTTCTCATTACATGGTAATGGGGTGTGTGTGTCTGGAGTGTGTGTGCAGCTAGAACAGGAACAGGCCTTGTTCGTTTTAAAACACCACAACTGGCCCTTCAGGTGTGTACAAGAGAAAAGAATGTGGTTGACATTACAGCCCAATGGATTTGTAGTTTTAAGGGCTGATACGGATATTAGAGATCAGATATTCTGATCTCATATTGACATATCAATTTGTCCGTGAACTTTATTATAAATAACTATGAATAAAAAAAGAGCAAAAATAGAATCAAATTTATAGAACTTGAATTTAGACAGAAAACATTTTTCTTTTGCGCAAATTGTAAACATCTTCTCTGCATTGTGTTAAGGTTTTCATATCTGCAAGCACGATACCAGGCAATTATGTCTGTAAAAAGCCTCATATTCTCCAATATCACCCAAACTACATGTGTCATGGCAGCAACTTGACCAAAAGTCTGGAGGGATGGCCTGTGTTCCTCAGGGAATACTAAGGCCTAAGAAAAAGAAGATAAATGGGTCAGGCTCTAGTTAGCAAGCACTGATACATCTATTACTTCTATATAGACAGTTTTTATTCTCTTGAAACTTGTATCATTTAGTTCTTTGTACTACTTGTGTGTATTGCAGTTAATATATCTCATAAACTTTGTGATTCTACCCTCTGTTACTGTCTGTCCTTCTGTTTCCATGTGTGTTCCATTATTTCTGATTCTTACAGACACCTCAGGAGGATGTAGAGAAGAAGGACAGAGGAGAAATGAGTAACAAGATAGTGGAGAGACAGAGGGTTGGATAATACAGTCAGAGGAGAGTAGGCGGGAGGAGGATGTGCAGACTCTAGTCCCAGTGGTATTAGAGTTGGGTCACTCTAACTATAGTCTTTTTGTGCCTTGTTGGGGTGGTGCTCTATTTTAATGTAATAACCAGTTAGTGCTTCCTGTTCATCTCACTGCTGCAATGTGATGCTCATCCTCTGCCTCTGAGATCTAGAGCAGCACAGGCCACCGCAAAATCGAGTGCAAGAATTATTATATGTAAGCCACAGAGTCTGTTATTGCCCCACGCAGTTAATTTTTTAAAATTTGCCTGTGAACATTGAATTTGAAAGAGGATGAAGCCCGGCATTTGACCTTAACCATGTTTAGACTCTCCATTAAACAGGGATAGTAATGACAAAGGTGGAAACAGTGTCAGTCTGTTAGTTTACAGGAAAGTTCACGCAAAAACTACTGGACAGACTACCACGAAACTTTGCAAAAGGATGCGACGTGGATCAGGAAAGATCCACTTCAATTTTGGTGCAGATCCAGATCAGGGGGAGGATCCAGGAATTGTTTTCACTTTCTTAATTCATTTTTCAAATTTTTTTCTGAGAATAATTTGTGGTGCAGATCCAAAATAAAACTAAGATGAAGTGAATTAAAATGTGGTTTTATAATGGGGCTGTTCAGCCTTGGTGGAGGTATGGCATTCTAGTTGTCCCTTTTTTATAACAGAATTTCTCAGAATTTTGCTCTGATATGCACACATACAGAACATAAGCATTTATTTTCCATAACTAGTTCTATAGGTAGATTTCCTCTAATCTTGCTTGAACAGGTCAGGTAGTTATCGCGTGTGTCCAGCAGTGGCCTAAGTGCACAGGTCAGTGAAGGAAAGCTCAAGGTGAGTGTAGAGTACAGACAGGTTTGCAGTATTACTGGCTTTGGGCCATCTGTTGTTTTGAAGGATTAACAGAGAGGAGAAGGAGAAAGGAATCAATCAGATCCGACTAATGGATCCTCTCAGTGTCTCCACCCCAGCCTGAGCCCACCCATTGCCATCATTTTCCCTGTCTGCATGCTACATTACTCCTCTGTCTGCACAGTCCAAAGTACTGGGCCCCATTGTAAACAGTGGCTGCTGTCTTACATGTGATGACTTATATTTCAGTTAAGCGGAAGGGGAATAACGTGGTAAACTCTGTTATTTTGGGCTGATCTTTTCATAAGAGCATTATAAGTGTGTTTGTGTGTGTGCGACTTATGCTTATCCCGTGCTCCAGCATCTCTGCTTTGTCCAGATCCTTGTCAGCATTGTCATCACATCATTTCCCTCTGCTCATCTCAGAATCTGTCTGGGTAACTTAACCAATATGCCCTCATCAGCGAGTGAAAGTAAACAAGAGTTGGGTCTGGACACAAGGCTGAATCAAACATGTTTTTAGATTCTGCAAACCTGGCTCTCAGTGCTTTTATACTCAGGGTTAATGCAGTGTGTTATTGTGTCGGGGGTCATCTCCGTGTCGATTGCAAAAGATGAACAAAGTTCCACTTTCCAGAAACGAGCCAGCAAAGGATTGTAATGATATCAAGAGACGCAAATCCTGGTGCTGTTCATGAACTCAGGACAGGCAACTGCTATTGTGTTTGCAGCACACACAACAGCTTTCACACGATGCGTGGGAAGTTTTTAATCTTTCACATATAATGTTGAAGTTACCAGATTTCTACTTATTTTCATATTGTTTCACCCCCTTGTACTTGTCTTCCATCCCTAGCTCAGCTTCACTGCAGCTTCTGTGGCTGATCTCCCTCACACCAGTAGCTCTCATTATATCTGCCAGTAGCTTTTGAACATTACAGTGAGAATACGATTGTAGATCATTATATTCATTAGCTTTTATTAAAGCCATCGATGTTGACATTTCAGTCCAGCTTGTGGCTTGTGATAGTCATTTCAGAGGCGATGATGAGGGTAGTTGTCGAGGTCTAATGGATGAAGTGAGGGAGAGAATTTGCTCAGGACAGAGGCTGGTTTGTGCAGACGGTGGACTGAACAGTACGAGAGACGCACACTGTGTCAGGGAATTCCTCTGAGCTGGAGAAATCACTCAGGCAGCTCCAGGGAAGTGGCTCTAAATGTTTAAAGAATCTCCGGCTGGAACACAGAGTTGAATCTTGGGTTATTTTTCTGCTTTCACAGAGTTTAGATGCCGCTGTATTTCATAGTCTCTCATTCCCTCTATTTCTGCTAAGCCGGGTTGCCATTAGTTGCTTTCAGACATGTACCATACTCTGGGTATTCTCCTGATTATCTGGAGGGGCTTTATGTGAGAACTCGAATTTCCAGGTCAATTGCTCCGGACATTCTCCAGCCCCCTCGTAAAAACTCCTGAGAATGTCCGAGTGAGCTCACGTGAGAACACGTCTGGTGCTTGTATTGATGTGCTGTAAACAAACACACATGATTTCCACAGTGGGTGGAATACATCATGTCCTCCCTCCTGTATGCCTTATCCAGACGCATATTCATGCCTGAACACGCACAGATTGTCTGGTTGGGTCTTGACATTATCTGGAGTCTGTTGGATTTTTGAGATTTAAATACAATTAATCCCACAGTCCGAAACTCAAGGCATTTTTCAGGTAGCACCTACAAGTAACGACTTGTGCCTACGTTACACAAGAGCTGTTTTATTCACCCCCACATGAGAACTTTTTTGAGGAACAACTTGGAAAGTGTGCGTTTCAGCTGAGTGTAATTGTGTGTGTGTGTGTGTATGTGTGTTTGTGTGTGTGCGAGTGATCAGGACTAAGACCATCTGCAGAGTCTTGCAGGGACCTCATGAGGTCATTTTGCGTAACTGTGGCGTGGGAGAGGGAACTGAAGCATCTTCATTTAGTTTGACAGGACACACACTGACTTCTTAATAATTCACATATCACAGATCTACATTTAATCCTAACTGTAATGTTATGTTACGGTTACATTTTGCCTTATTTTCAGTCCCTTGATAGAAAATGTATTCCTGCAAGAATAAGCTTCTTTTTCATGAGGAGTTGTTGGAGATCTTCATGGGAGCGGTCAGATGATTTGTCTGAGCCTGAGAAAGTTCTTCCTGTGTTCCAGCTGTGTCTTGCATCATGGCAAGGCCTCATTATCCGGCCCAGCTGTGATCAACTATTGTTTCACATGGATGTGATAAACAATGTGACTGTGCTCACAAGATGTAACTTCATTTCAATGTTTTCGTTGGCTAATGTAAAAGGACTCACCGTCATATGTTTCTGTTTTTGTGTTCCCAAACATTCAGGTAGCCTCACCTCGGTCCTGGGAGCAGTGAGCCCGAGGAGGAACAGTGTGGCTGCGGTCTGCTGCTCAGGGTTGCTTTGTAAGCTATAGCCGGCACCATGGCGCTGTCGTACAAGAAGGACCTGGAGAAATACAAGGATCTCGATGAAGATGAAATCCTCAACAAGCTGTCGGAGGAGGAGCTCAAACAGCTGGAGACAGCCCTCGAGGAGATGGATCCTGAGGTCAGGGTTCAGTGAGGGCTGGAGGAGCTCCAGGGCTCTTTAGTGGGAGGGTTTGACTGTGAAGTGGACAATTTCATAATCATCTTCCTTAAACAAAAGTCCTATCTTGGAACCTTAAAACAGATTACACCTAGTTTTACAAGTGTATACCACTTGTACTAAATCTGGTATAGTGTGTGAATCACAGAAAGTGGTCATGGCTGAAGCACATAAAGGGAAAGTGAATCCACCAGAAAATATATGCCACATCATTAAATTGAGATTCACTGGGATGCATTGAAAGGGTGGATTTTTCCCCTGCAATCCAACCCCACCCTCAACTCTCAAGCTTCTTTGGTTCGGAAAATAATTTAATGGGGAGTCTGGGCTGCAGCGACCGTGTCAACAGGCTGCCAAGTGTTTTTGTGTTTATTTGTGAGTGGAGCTGTAGAGTAGAATGAATAAACATGAGTAAGTATAATCCCTCCCACGCCCCTGGATGTTTTATTGAAATTCCAACTAAACCTAGTGAGAGAAATCCCACTGCACACAGAACCCACAGGAAACAGTCAGTGGGAACATATTCATATTCAAGTTAAACAAGTTCAGAGTATGTTGATGAACCTGTAATATCTGACTATCTTCTATGTGAAACTCAAGCCTGCACGTCTGCTTCCTCATCTGAGAATGTACATTATATATATTTGTTTTCAGAGTTTGTTCTCAGCCAGTTTCTGCTACTTTTGATATCACAGTGATGAAAGTACCTTCGAAGGGAAACCTGTGTTGTGATTGTATCCCTTTTCATTCATATAACTCATTTAATGCATATATTTCCCCCTGAAAGCAGACAGACCAAACACCATTCATCATTTGCCAGTTTATGGATTTAAGACTTTTATACTATAGACATTTCTCTGTATTGAAGTCTTCATCAGTCGACAGGTCTAATATATTTCCTTGTTTCCTCCCCCAGAATGCTCTTCTCCCAGCGGGTTTACGTCAGAAGGACCAGACGTCCAAGGACGCAACAGGACCGTTTGACAGGGATCGTCTGCTCAAACACCTGGAGAAGGAAGCCATCGAGTACAAGGACAGAGAGGATATAATTCCCTTCACTGGAGAGAGAAAAGGTGTGCCTTTGTTTTTCTTCATACCGGCTCATTTCAGCATGAATATTTACAGGATTTGGGTTTTAACCCCTTAAAATTGTGGATTCCACAACATATTGTGTGACGTTGACCATTAGAAAAGTCAAGCATTCTTTTAAAATGGAGATTTCACAATCCCAACATGATTTCCTCTTTTTATCGTTCAGCCATAGTGCTCTCTCGTGTTAGGGTCGTATTTCTCAGGGGATGAAGGACCAAGGTCTTCATCAGCAGTACAGACACACAGTCATAATTACTGTTCTGCTCTCTTTGCATGTATTATTAATGCATGTATGCTCTTATGCAACATGCAGCCTAGTGGGGGAGGTGTGTTTGTACCAGAGGAAAGGAGGTAGGGAGAGTCAAAGGAGGAGGCAATGTTAGGATTAGCTGTTTTTAATCAATCTTTTTGTTTATTTTACTTGGAGGTTCTGTTTTTATCTGTGATGGTTTAGTAGTTAGCAGAATTCTGCAAAAAAACACTGGAAGGATTATCGTGAAACTTTGTGGAAGCAGTATGGGTCAGGGAAGAACCCGTCACATTCAGATCTGGATCCGAAGGTGGATCCAGGATTTGGTTTTTTTTTGACTTTCTTATACACTTTGAGATTCAGTGTCCACATTTTCATTCTGTAATTATATTACACAAGTATAATCTATAGATCCTGATGAAAAAAATCAGGCATGTTTAGGGGAATTGATGCTTATGAGTGTGTGAAATTTGACACAAATCCAAATAAAAATTCAGATCTAGTGAAACTGTTGAGGCGACTTGATGCACTTATGGATGAAGCTTTGTTTTTCAGAAGATGTGATACAAATTTGAGACTAAGTAGCCAGATTTTTTTGTTTGGTTTTGCTCATTGATTGAAGATGCAGACTGTAAATCCAGTTGTGTAACTTTACAGCCATAGTTGTACTGCTGTATTTAGACATTTCCAATTTGTAAAGATTGGGTCTCATGGATTTATAGCCGCAACTTGTTGCTGTAATCAGTGACGTCAGTAACATGAGATGATGCCCGAGCTTTAACCATCTGATATGTAATGTTTCTCTTTTTTTATAATTCTCAAGAACTGTTCATCCCAAAAATATTCAGGAACAACTTCTGTCTTCCTCAAGTTCGAAGCCATGCACATGCAAAATTTAAAGTCGCTGGGATTGGCAGTTCTTGAGAAGTCAAAGAACAGACAGGTCATGTTTTCAGACATGGTGAATCCAGCTGTTCGCTCACATCGGATTCTGCTGACTTTCTGCAGACCTCATACAAGCGCCCATGCAGAAAAGTCTGCAGATTATCAGAGTCCAGTGCACATGTGAAAGTATCTACAGAGTCCTTCTTTATATTCAGATACTTGTGACAGTAACTGTAAACGAAATTATTTTCCAGAGGAATTTCTTTTGTCGGGATCTCCAGAGATCCAAACAGTACTCCTTCGCTGGAGAGGAAATAGAACTGACATCTTCACTATGACCCAACCCGGTCTGTTAGAAATTATGGTGTGTGTGTGTGTGTGTGTGTGTGTGTGTACCCCATGACTACATGGAAAACTCAAATCACTCTGGTGGTTCTGTGGAATGTGGCTGATTCTCTCCCCCTTGTTATACTCACCCCCTGCTGATGAATAATGTTGTCATGAGTGTGTGAGTGTCTCCTCTCAGCAACACACATAATATCAGAGGAAAACAGTCTGCCTGGCAATCACTATAACCACTAACATCAGGTCAACGCTTATTACTTTTTTACCCTCCATCTTTTATTATTGTTCACACCTTCTGTTCATCCTTGATTTCCTGTGGCTTTTGTCAACATTCTTTACATTATGAGTTTGTCATGTCCATAGATGTTGAATAGAAATGGGAAATTCTTTCACTGAGTTTTTTTTAACATTTTATAAACAAAGCTTTGCCTCTGTGATTAAGGAAATAACCCACTGATGAAGTGATAATGATAATAACTGTTAGTTGCAGCCCTACCCACATGTTAGTCACGTTCATCTGAAGAATAAGCCAGAGTTCACTGTAAACAGCCATTGCAGCTCCACTGACCCATTTTACTTGCCGTAGCTGTATGGTGACAGTAATCCTGTGCAATCATGGATTATTATTTGAGTGTGTTCAATTTTGATCATACCTCCAAATATTTGAATCTGGATTAACTTCTTGTTTACAGCCTGTGTGATTCTCTGGATTTCTCCCCATGGCTGACTTTATTGTAGATGTTTTAGAGATTACAACATTAGAGATGTCTGAAACTGATGCAGGCATCACAAAGTCCCTCAATACCAGTATTAGGTACATGGGTCAGTCTGATTCACCAAGTACTTCCAGCTACTCCTGATAGAGAAAGACAGATTTTTAAGTCCCTGTTTTTTCCCACATACAATGTTGTACCTCAATGTGTTTTCTCCATTTTGTCCATAATGTGTGTCCCTGTGGGGTCATTCAGACCACAAGACTTTGGGCCTCTTTCCTTCTTCCGAGGAGCTAAATGCTGATCCACTGGGACTGGCACAGATGCTGCTTGATGACTTTATTTACTGTTTGCTGGCGTTCAGGAAGTGCCAGAGCCCCCACTAGGGACCAGTTTGAGCAGTTTGACGAGAGTGGGAGGGTCTGATCTTGGGGTGTTTTTGTTTAAGGAGACAGGCACGCAGAGCGGCTGGATGCTCTCTCTGCCATGCTGTGTTTGTTGCCCCAGCAGTGCAGTTTAGATTAGACTAAAGTCATTGTTCCATGACTTCCTTCACTCTTTCCGTTTCTTCGCCCAGATAGGTAACCATGGCAATGCCACAGTTGTCAGACAGTCCTTGGCGGACTGAGTTCTGCTGGTCTGAGGAACTGGTGGTTGGGGAAGGTTGTGTAAAGTAGCCGGAGGCCCAGTTTTATTTACACAGCACATTTCTGTTGACACTTCACCTCCATGTTAGAGTGTACAATGATTGCACGCTGAACAAAACAAGAATTTCAGTTAATTTTATGTGACTTTTAACAGCATTCATTCACAGTGTAATGAGTTTGCATCGTAAAGCTTAATCTGTGCTCATTCCTTGTGCATTGCAAGAAAGCAGAAAACTTGATTTTAGCAAATAAACCAAAAAACACAAGTTGCTTTCAGACGTGAACTGAACAGCAGATAATATCCTGACATTTGCCGGAGGGACTGTATGTGAGAGTGAAAATGGCCAAGTTTGAGGCTCTGGACTTTCTCCCTAGTTTTTCCTGCCTGCCCCTTAGTAAGAACTATAGATAACGTTATGTGAGAACACAGTAGAAGACTCTCAGCAGGATTCACTGCAAGTGAGTGGGCGTGTTGATGAGCACAGATGCAAAACCGAAAAAGCAGAAATACAAACATCTCAGAATGAGAAAGAGGAACGATACATGTAGAAGGCACCAACAAAATATCAACTTAGACAGACAACAAGACTGGAGAGCTTTTGGTGTTGGTGTGCTGGAAACAGAAAACATGTGATTTGCACAGTAGAATGAAATCCTGCCTCTTCCTGCTGCACCACCCCTCACCTGAACACTCTGGAGATGTCTGTTTTCTCTGTGAACGCGTCTGACTGGAGAATCACTGGCTGCGTTGTTTTTTTTGTGAAAGGCAAACTCAGGAGACAGTCTGCAACCAATTGTGCGAACATTCTCCTGAGGCCATTTCTGAAACTGGCTACCGTGTGTTACTGTGTAGAAATAAAATGAGAGGTTAAAGCTTAAGAGCAAAGCAGAGTGATGGATATTTTGAACTGCTGTGAAGTTTGATGCCTGAAAAAAGATCAAAAGATCAAATGTGTTGTGAGATTCAAGCTTAATGTTGGCGTTAAACCTGTCTAAGTGTATTTACTATACAGTTTTTTTCGGGAACGGTGAACACAGCTCTTAGTTGTCATGCAGTCTTATGACTGTTGCAAGGAGAGAGGAATGGTTGCAGAAGAATAACAAGCAACATTAAGTGACGCTTTAGCGGTTGGACACATTTTATAGAAATGGGAGCAGTTGTGTAACATCTCATAAAATTTACTTGGGCCTGCAGGGACCTGATTCTTCTGTCTTGATGAAAACATTATTTATACCCTGCCCTTTTTGTGAGGCCTGAATCGTCTCCTTTGAGTTTATGATTTGAAGTAAACTTTCCTCTCCTCTCCTTCTCTATAGGTAAAGTATTTATTCCTAAGCAGAAACCAATAGAAATGCGCCAGGAAGAAGTCACAACCCTCGATCCAGAATTGGAGGAAGCCCTGTCCAGCGCCACAGACACAGAGCTGTGTGATCTAGCAGGTAAAGAATGAATGAACACCTTTGGGAAAACTAAGAAGTCTTTGATAAAAGGTTTTAGAAACATAACTCAGTATCAGGATCTCATTGTGTTGTAGCTGAGGGAAGCATTCAGTCTGCCTGAGACTGTAAAACACATTTATAAACTCTGATTATCACTGCAGCTTCTGAGACTGTGGTTTGCTCTTGTCTGCAGCGATCCTGGGTGTTCACACGCTGGTCACCAGTAGTCAGACATATGATGGGACCGGTGGTAAAGAGGGTTACAACAGTAAGTACAATCATAGAAGTGAACTCTTGTTAATTCAAATGTCCCAAAAAGGATCAATGTCTTGACCCCTGTGTCTCTTCTAGATGTGATCAAAGGGGAGAAGATGAACCCAGTGTTTGACGAGCCTCCCAATCCCACCAACGTAGACGACACCCTGCAGAGGATAAAGAGCAACGACAGCTCCCTAACAGAGGTCAACCTCAACAACATTAAGGTACACGCAAACACAGGTTATCAGAGTGTGTTTATACTCATCTACCTGTGGCTAACAGTGTTTCTTTGTTGGCTTTTCAGAACATTCCCATTCCCACCCTGAAGGACTTCGCCAAAGCCATGGAGAAGAACACTCACGTCAAGAAGTTCAGCCTGGCAGCAACACGGAGTAACGACCCAATTGCTGTGGTGAGAGGGTGTGGCATGCAGGCTGTAAATAACTATTGATGGCACCAGACAAGTCCTTATTTACACCTTTGCTTTATTTTTCTCTTCCTGGTCCCAGGCGTTCAGTGACATGCTGCGGGAGAACAAAACGTTGCGAGCTTTGAACTTGGAGTCCAACTTCATCACCGGGACAGGGGTGCAGGCTTTGGTTGATGCTTTGCGAGACAACGACACACTCACAGAGATCAAGATAGACAACCAGGTACCAGATGGTTTGGGGCACTTTCCCTTTTCGAGAAGGTTCTGTCAGACATCAGGATCTTTTGCTCAAAAGCAGAAAGGATTGAAAGAATCTTAATAGAAAGTTCACATAATTCCTATTTAATTCAAGATTATGACGAGAAAGAATTTGCTCTTTATTTCATTTCATTTTTTGATCCCTGTAGAGGGCCAAAGAGTCTGATTCTTCTAAAGAGTGGTTTTGTCTGTTTTGCACTGTGCACTTTAAAGAAAATACCAACCTACACAAACCACTGCCTGAATAAATCGTACACGCCAAGAGAGTTTGAAGTAGTGGAAAAGAAGTGAAACCATATCCCTGTGGTCCTGACTCGCTATGTTTGTGTGATTCAGAGGCAGCAGCTGGGTACTACTGTAGAGATGGAGATAGCTAAAATGTTGGAGGAGAACAACAGCATAGTGAAGTTTGGTTACCACTTCACCCAGCAAGGACCTCGCTCCAGAGCCGCCGCAGCTATCACCAAGAACAACGACCTGGGTACGACACACACACACACACACACACACACACACACACACACACACACACACACAAAGAACAATTTGAGATTTATTTAATCCTGTAAAAGCTGTGTTAGTGTCTGCCCATCACATTGCCTTTCGCCTGGTATATCTTTATTACCACGTTCAGACCTGGTATTGACATCCTGCCTTACATATCTGAACACACAATTCTTCCTACATTTAGAATTGGTCTCGGACGAATATGTCCACATTCTTTTTCACTGTGTGAACGCAAATGCTCCCTGGGGCACATTTGAAGGACCCTTCACTCAGCTGACGCCCTCTTGATTTGTTTGTTGGCACAGTGGAATCTTCACAGTTGTATGAGATTCATTCAGCCCTCCTGAACCTGCGCTTGTGCCAACACACACACACACACACACACACACACNCACACACACACACACACACACACACACACGCACACGCAGTGACATCAGACACATCTGTAACTCCGATGGGGTAAAAACAAGATTTCGTCTTCATGAACACAAATGTCACACGTTTGTATTTGCATATAGAGCAGGGAAGTGAAATCCAACATTCACAGGAGACTCATTCAAGACACATTTTAGTTCCAGGTATGAACAGACAAAATTGGAGCTGTCCACTTATGATCGGATCTCTCAGGACGGATGTTCATGCCAGTTGTGAACAAGGCTTTAATGTGGAACAGGGCTATGGGTTATGACGAATTGTGTTTACATCGTTTTACTGTCTGAAACCTGTCAGTCAATCACAATAAGAAGTTTCAGTCCACAGTGACGACCTCTGCTCTCTTTTAGCTCCTCCTCCTGTCAGAGCTGCGGTAGCACAGGTCTGGTGCATGGGTGTGGTCACAGAGTGTGTTGACGATAACAATGATTTCTTTCACAGCTTTTTGAATGGACCATTCACTGCATTAACGTTACGGAGATTGACACGGTGTGATCTTACAGCTTTGAGAGCGACGACATCTCACTTGTTTTCTGTACATGCCGACACACGCTGTTGAAACAGCTGTAACTCACAGCTCGAGATGACTCACTCAGTGTTTTCATGACAAACTAACAGGCCTGTGGAGGTCGAACGGTTGCGTTGCATGTTTGCAGTCGTTCGTTCTTGTCAGTCGATTGATTTTAGGTGAAATTTATGCTTTTTTTTTCATTTACCTCTCCCGTCTAGTTCGCAAGAAGCGAGTGGAAGCCGAACTGTAGGAATGGAGCCGGACCCGCCTCCCAGCCAATCTTGTTTTTTCATCTCACCATGTGGAATAATTTCAGCCAATGCCCTGGTCTCATCTCACTGTGTGGAAACTTAAGTCTTGTGCCAAACTGTGGGGCAAGGCGCGCGCAACCAGAACATACATCTGAGAAGAAGGGAAATAACTGGAATTGCCCTCTCCTATATGCTTGTTCATACTGTTGTTTGTTATTATGTTTGTTATTGAAGTTGTAAATCTGATTAGTTTTTAGTCATTTCATTTCAGCTGCTCCTTTTTTTTGAGCCTTTGTATGAGCTGTCCAGACTTTTTACTCGCTCTTTTCCTTTTATACAATGCTATAATCATGTGGAATAAACATGAACAAGTAACTGAAACAACAGTAATATCTGTGTAAAAACGGTAACTAACCCTGTGTCCTCTTCCGTGATACTTTGCTATTGAATCTTAAGATTCCAGTGGGGCGATATTTGACATTAGAACAACGTGATTCGTTCCGAGGCCGCGATGACTAACCTGCAAGTGTTGTTCTGACTGCGCCGCTGTCAGTCACCACACAATAACCAGCAGCATGGTGCAGTAATGATGAGGTCGCTGTCGTACGTTACGTGAGCAATGTGGTTTGCAGGTGTTTTTTATTGGAGTTGTAAAGTCAGCGTGACTGATGGGCTGGTGTGTGTAATAGTTCATGTGTGTGCAGGAACGTTCTTAGTTGGTGCTGGCGTTACGCTGTAGTCAGCCGAAGAGAGGATGTGTGATTCTAAATCTGTAAAAACACATCATACTGTCGACCCACAACTTCAAGATAAAACCGTATCTGTGAATAACGTTTTTATTCCTTTAGTTTTGTTCTAACTAAAGATCTTGTTTTGAAATGGTTTAAATTCTGATGTTGGTTATTAGGACCCCTTATATCTCTGAACAGGAAATTATAATGAGGCTTTGGTTTTTCAGATCAAGTAAAAGTGGGATTTTACTATAAATACAACAGGATATTTACTCTGTTGAGGCTTTGACATGCTCTCACTAATAAAATAAATACCTGCTCGACAGGCTCAGTATCACTAATGCTCAACCAAACCAAAGACGAACACGTGCAGTGCTTAAAGCATCAACATCAGACTCTGTGGTTATTGATTCAGATTTTGGTTTTGTCAGCTTCCTCACAGTTAAGATCCTGGAAAGAGTTTATAGGTTGACAACAATGATTTGACTTTTTATTTGACCATGACGTTCCATTCCTTCATGTGGGCCATTTAATGAAGAGGAGTATCCTGCAAGTCGTTGGCTGAGATGCGATTAAGAGTCGGCTCACAGTTTGTATGAAATCTTGTCAGTTTTATGTCTCGGCATGCAACTACTTGTGAAACGTCTCTGTGAACACCACCCTTGTACAGATCTTAAATCCTCCCTCACACCAACACTTCAGCTTTCAGCAGCATCTGAGCAGTAGCATGTCGTTCATTACGTAACAGTGATGATGGCAACATGCCGTGTGCCTTACTCTGAACGCACACTAACCTGCTCGAGATGAGGAGAACAGGACTAATGCAGAATTTACTTGAAACTTGTATATACTGTTTATGTGTAATAGGAACAATACTCTGGCATGACGTCATCACTATGAACAACACGTTTCTATCGACCGTGCCGCCTCACATTCCTGGGACGAGAGTTCTATGTTTTATATCTGTGTTCTTCCTCCAACATCATATCTGCTTGTATTTGATCTCCAACCTTTGTCTTTACATGACCGTGCTCTGCTGGTGGATTAACTGCTTCTTTGCTTGGGCTTGTTAATAATATTCGGTGATTCTATATTAATTATGTACATTAATTATAAAATGCCATCTCAACGTCTCACACACACTCACACACTTACTTGTATGTGTGTACCACATAAATCTACTCACTGCTGAGATTTCTTTTGTACCTTTTAAATCAAAATCCAGGTGTAGACTCAACATAAGGAATATGTACTATTATAAACCACAAGACTGGTAAAATGCACTGCTGAATATAAGACATCCTCAACAATAAATGTTTTTACATACTCTGTGCCTTTTTTGTTTTTCTTTAACCTAAAATGTATAAATATGATCTTGATTATTGAGCCTATTTCCTCTTAAAATTCTTTTCAATCAATCAGACTTTATTTGTAAAGCACTTTTGATACAAAAATGTTTAAGAATAAAAGCAACCAAAGTAATGCACACCACCCATCCACACACAGATTAAGACGATATTAACAGGAAGTGAGGGAATTTTAAATGCACACTAAAGACCTTAGAGTTAAAAGATAAAGATGAAATACAAATAAAACTTTAAAAAACAAAAAGATTTATAAAAGTTGAATAGAATAATATACAAAAAGAGAGGTATGAAGATAAAATACTAAAAAGATGTGAAAAGAATAAAGATAAAATGTAAAAAGTATAAAGATGAAAAAGAAAAAACGCTAAAAGATGTGAGAAGGATAAAGACAAAATAGAGAACATTTAGAAGCTTGTTTAACGAAATCTTGTTCCACATTGAAATTCAATCAGAACAAGATTCAGGTGAGGAGAACTGTTCACAGCCTCAGGGATCATGTAGATCTGTCAGTAAATGTTTCTAACTGAGTGATGAAGGCCACACAGAAATGTCATGTAAGTGGATCTTTTTCTATTTCCAAGATCAATAATGAAACTTCAAGCTCAACTCTATTCTAGATTTCAGGGTTTCACCTGATGTTTTGTGTTTATGTGAATCTTGCATGTTCTCTGAACAGAGCTACTCTGCAGACCTCGTTCACCCTAACAGGGTCAGACTCTAGGGTCAGAAGGTTTCATCCTCTGGGGAATGTGAATGTTCAAACCTGGTGAGAAATCTCACTGAAAAACAAAAACGGTGGTGCAGAGGGAGAAGTCGGTGGATTGACAAAGTCTGTACGGATTCTTCCTCTGGGGAACAGGAGAGTCTGCAGCAAACACTGAGATATTTCAGTCAGGATCCATCATCCGTAGAGCTGTGCTGCTCTAAGTAAAAAAAGAACTGTGTGTAACTACTGAGGACCAGATTGAAAACAGGCTGTGGTCAGAACTTAAGCTGCGACAGTATTTTTTAATGACCTACAGACTGACATGTTGGTTTGGGAGGTACTCGAGCTGGTGTTCGTACGCAGCCTTTAATCAGATCCAGTTTCTCAGATTGTTTGCACATGCCTGAGAGATGATGTAATGTGCATGACTCCATCGCTCTCTGAGCTTCCTGTGCCAGAGTAGCTGTGGTGAACTGCTGTCAGAGAAACCTGGGGTGTGACTCCAGTGTTTCCACTCTGAGAGAACCAGAACAGCAGGTTTGTGTCGTGACTGATAAAACGCACCAGAAGGCTTTGATTCAAAGCAAGATTCCAAACCTGGCTTCATAAACTGCCAGTGAAATATACAGTTGTGTGCTTATGTAAGTGCAGTAGTAACTGTTCCCTCAAACCAGGGCTATTATTAAACACCAGTCACTCCTCTGCATGTGGAAAAAATAGACTGAAACACACAGTTCCTGGAGTCCAAGTCTTTCTTTGAGGTTGGTGTTCATGTAGCGCTGACGTGAAGAGAATGATGTGTTTGGTTTGAAGTAAACGAGGAATCTCTTGAAGATGAAACCTTGAAGGAGACATTCATATACATCAAAACCTCAGCCCACACATCATGTCAACAGAGGTTTTCACAAAATGGAGAGTATTTAACATCTAAAGACCAAAGTCTGGTCAAATAAAGACAGCTGATTATAAAGCTGTCAGTGACTTCTGACTTCATAAAGCTGCTGACTTCATCTCCTTTTAAATCTCTCTTGAAATCCTAGTTTTGAAAATGTGCATTTAATGGGTTTATGGTCTGAGCTCGCTTTCATCTTCCAAGTCGCTTCACACAAAGGCTGCCTTGTAGCCCTCTTATTATTGGAATATTTTTTATGTTTGGCATCTTTTGATTCAGATTTAAACATGTTTTCAATCTTTTTATCATTTTGTTGAGTAAGTTACTTTATAACTTTGCTTTGAAAAGTGCTTTGTAAATATGGTTTATGATGCCGAGGAGATCGTCTTCTCATTAGGTTGTGTCTCTCTGTCAGTAAGAACAAGTTAGTGTCCTTTTTTTATAACGGTGCCTTTAACGTGCTTGTGGTCTGAACTTACTTTTTGAAGTCATCTCACAATAACTCACTTTTTTTCTTTTATTCTTGCTCCTTTTGATTGATGATTGATTGACACAGTTTTTTGATTTCTTTTATCACTTTGTCTTATAAAGACTTTATAACTTTATGCTTTATATATAAAGTTTTCTTATTTATTACATGAAATTGATGATAATCTCCCCTGCTCTTCTTGGTCAGTCTGATTATTAATGATATTAATGTAGTTATGGGTGAAGAGGTTGGAGTGGGTGCAGCCTGCAGGCCGTCACACTGACGAGGATTAAACTTCACTGCACCGGACTGACTCCAACACGACTCCACGTGAACTGCGAGTGATGGAAAGAGAAGCAGATGTTGCATGGATAGGAACTTGTGTCTGCCCTTCCCCTGATTCTCATCCTCTGACGTCTGACATCTTCCACACACAAGCTTTGTTCTGCTCGTCCTGCAGCAGATTTCCCACCCGAGTGGAAGGTGTGGTGAGTCAGCCCTGAACGCAGCTCTCTGAAGTCTGCCTCTATCATGACCTCATGCAGGTGGTAAACAAAGGCTCACTGATTATGTAAAGGAGAGAACGGAGGAAGGACACTTGTACTGTACTTTATTCACAAGCAGCCAAGGGTGTGAGTCAGTCACTACTATAAACAAAGTACTACACACCATGTTTATTTTAGAGGAAATCAGGTCACAAACTGAACCAAAACTCGTGTTTCAGGCAGCAAGACGTGAATAAAACCAGATTTAAAAGCCTGTTCATTGATTTTTTTTTCCATTGCTGAAAAGCCTCAGATGAGAGCTGACATGTTGGCAGGACCAGTGATGTGTCCTTCAAACGCAGCCTCATACCTGACTGGGTTATGTAAACATCCTGACTACAAGCTGTGGACACAGAAGAAATGTGCAACATCTGTGAGTGTGCACTTGATCCTTCAAAGCCTGAACCCATGCAACTGTTTGGATAAGTGTGTGATTATTAGTGAGGCAAGGCCCATTTATCTGAATAACACATTTCAAAGTGCTTCACATAAAATATACAAGGCATCATGACAAATTGTACAAGCAACATAAGACGAGAAAGAAATTCAAAGTTAAAAGCAGTTCAATACAGAATTAAAAATTACATAAGAAATAAAAGAGTGAAAATAACATGGCAGTTTATGAAATAAGTAATTGTATGATTTAATAAAAGGTCGTGGCAAACAGGAATGTTTTCAGCATTGATTTAAAAGAACTAAGAGTTGCAGCGGACTCACTGTTTCTATATGAAGAGCCCTTAAGAATAGTTCATTTTGTCCTAAATGTCATTTTTTACAGGAATGACATCCATCTCCATTACCAGGCAGCTACAGTGACACTGTTTTATTAACTTTCCTTCCTTTTGGGTTAAAAATAACCAGTTGCCTCAGCTTCATAACGTCAAACACATTCTGCACAGTGAACATCTCAGTCAGTGGAAAAAGGATTATTAGCAGCCCTGTAAAACGATTGGCGGCACTGGATTGTAATAAAAAGTTTAACTCTAGAGAACATCTTTACCATGACTTTCCGTGACTTAAAGAACTGGTTCACTTCAACAAACTATTCTATTCTAATCCAGATTAAGAATTGCGATGCTGTTGTTTATCAGTTTCATGATGGCTGAGGTCGTTAAGTATTTTGAGATGAACCCTCATGAATAAAGTCTGTGTCAAACCAAATCAAACCAAATGGACGAGTTCCATTCGACAAAGAAACTCCCGTTCTAAAGTTATTGAGTTGACACTTAGCCTACAGGTGAATAATATTGTAGATTTTCACTATGAATACATGTAAGTTTTCTAAAAAAATGATTCTTGATTGTTAAAGACAAAAACAGTTATGTTCATTTATGTGCTGATCAACTGGCGCCATCTAATGGTTAAAAACAATACCTTGAAACAATTGCAATATTTAAATTGTCCAACAGGGGTCAGAGTAAACCCACAGATGTTTTATGGTGGTATTAGTAAAATCATCCTGTAGATGTCCTCATCATCCCAAACCATTAACTTCATGTGGCTGCATAAATTCCATTTATTGTAAGTGGTGAAACAGTCTAAGTGGTAAAACACAGTGATGACACAGACATCAGAGGCTTTCTGGTGTTCAGTATTCTGCCCCAGGGCACTTTGGCACTGGGATCAAACTGCCAACCTTCTGGTGAGTGGACAACCCACTCTACCCCCTGACCCTGAAGTGCAATTTGTGATCAATAAACAGCAATCAATCAAGCAATCATATTTTATTTGTACAGCCCATATTCACAAATCTAAGACAAAGGGTTTAAACCTTAAAACTCAACTTGCTGTGTATAGATGTTGTTTATTTTCCATCTACGATAAATACACATCAGATTCTCAACATTATAAAACCTTTTTACCTCTTTACAGGCTCCCTTCCTATGGCCTCTTTACAGATGATGAACTAATTACAGAGAACACAATGAGACCTGTCGGTGCACTCGGATCAAGAGGCGGCTCCAGAGTGTGTTGTCATGGTAACGTTGTGACACATGACTCATGGTGTTGTTGCCTCTCCTCCCTCTTTTCATCCATAGCCATGATTTCCTTTTGTGTGTTTTTCCTACAACAGAACACAAGACGGGGAGATGCGAGTGAAGTAATCTCATCTCCACTGTCCGTCTGCCGCACTAGATATGAATTTTAAAACTATTGGAGGAAAATTACATCATTTTATACATGAAAATGATTTCATTCTCCTCCCTCTCTTTTAGCAGACCCAATGCCCAAAGACGAGGAGCTAATACAACACAAGCGCTGAACTGATTTGCAGTTCAATCTAAAAAAGTGTCATCTCACATTGAGAACATCATGTATAATTAATGCTCCGTCCTCCTGGTCTTTGTTCTGATACACACGTTTAATAAATGGATTTCCATTTGAAAATGCCAGACAGTGAGATTACCACAGCAGCATCTATAACCAACAGGCACTAATTGAATAAATTAATCATTCAAAGATCCTGAATCCATTCGTCGCTCCCCCAGTATTTGTCCCTCAGCATATGAGACTTCATGGAGGTACAACCTGTGCATCCTCGAGTCGCACCTGCAGTTTTTATCTTCCTGTTAGTTAGTTATTGCTTTTCACCAGCAAAGCTATTAAATTATAATGTATTTATACAACTTTGGGAGAATTCAGCGCCAAACTGGGTTTTGAATGATCATGAATGATACCAGGAGCACAGATGACAGAGACGGAGGCGTTGAAGAGTTCCTCTAACAGACTCCAGTAATGAATCCATGATGTGTGAAGTTCTGTCCCTCACAACAAGTTCATCCATCGCTCTCATATAACTTGATTATTTAACTGGGATTTATCTTGGTTTTCATTTATCTTGGTTTTCATTTTTCCTTCTGTTGATGATTAACTGACCTGTTGCTCCTCAGTTTACTGTACTCTATGTCCAGATCAGGACTGAAGATACACAGGTTTTCATTGCATCATATGCAGAGGCCAGAGGAGATAATGGAGACTTTTATTACATGTGTGGATTAGAACAAGTTATATATGTTTGCTATCATCAGTCTGTAGGGCCTCACACTCAAAGCATGAATGTATTGAAAGACTTGACAATCGATGTTATTATTGGTACAATCACACAACAAACTACTGTATGTATTCTTTGCAATCCCAACGTTTAGTCCTAGTTTCCAGGCAAGAAATATAAACACTGCAGATAGAGTGAAAGAAAAAAGTATTTTTTACTTTGACTGCATCACCTCTGTTGGATTATTCCCATTCTTAAAAGGTGATTAACACTAATATCAATATAATTTTAGGGAATGTGGAAAAATTATATTTAGTGAATGACCAGTCACTTCCTCATGGGTCAGACTTTATGACACTGATTTCCCAGCTTGGGAAAATCTCTCTTTTTTCTTGGCTTTTTCAAAGCACATTATTTTCCTGCCTGGTCAGTCATGAGACTGTTGGGACTGTTGTTCCTCCTGCTTTTAACAGCACTGGCTCCAGATGTCACATGCAGTGGTCAGTGGTCACAGAGACCTGCTGAATGTTTCCACATGATGTGAAAAGCACTTTTTCATTATCTGTAACTCAAGAAAAGTGAGTAAATAACAATTTAATCTTTGTTCTAAAAACCTTACATATCAATTAATTCCGTGAAATAGCCTTTAGTAAATCCATTAATCATAACTTTTGCTCTGGGGCGACATTTAAATTGAGTTGGCATTACTTTGGTGCTTCGGTTATTTTTTCTGGTGAGCTGCATTTGGGCAGTTGTTGGGCTAAACCGATGCAAGCAGCTGGAAGGCCGTAACTTGCAGCTCCTCTACTGGATGGTTAAGATTTAGAAGTCTAATATTACAGCTGTTGATTTAGTGTGTGTGTATTGTTATTGTGAGGTGAATATTCTGGATTAACAAGCAAATGTGCAATTAATTTAATATGAAACTCATTGTCTCTCAGTTTATTCGGGGCCTTTTAGGGTCAGGGGCTCTAGCCAGGACAGATTATGAGAAATTGGGCTCCTGGATGTATTCAAGTAAGGAGGCCCACCTCCCTCCTACATAGAAGAAAGACAAATTATTGTTAAAAGTATTTTTAATCTTCAAACATGACCTGAATATATCTATAAGAAAATACAGAATGTTGCCAGCTGAGTAAATCACACATACAACAATCAGTATATAAATATGTGTACATGTGATTGAAAGAGGCCATTTAATAAAAGTTACCTCTGCTAATGTAGCTAGAGTTTGGATCCAGCTACTTTAAGAAAAGTGTAGCCTATGTAGCATCTCTATTTTTTTTATCATTCCAAAATTACTCCAATGAGTAAACAACCATATATTATGATAGAAAACTTAATTGGTATAGCAGCCTTTAAATAAAGAAGAAAGAAGAAAGAGAAATAAGTAAATAAATAAGAGAAAAGCATAAAGAAGTAAAGATATATGGTGAATTATTTTGAAAGTGCCACCGGAAGCTGTTTCCCTCTGTACGCTGTGACGTCAACACAACAGCTCTATGACCACAGCGGCTCGTGAAGTGTTTCTACCCCGAAACATGTCTGCGCTCCCCGGGGCGGACATGGTGAACGTGACCGGGCCTGGGAGCCTCCCTGCCGCTTAACCCGGCGACTCTCTTCCCCGCAGCGACTCGACTGGAGCCTCAACACAAGCCGGAGGAGACGGGGGGGGGGCGCTGCGTTGACTCAAGAGAAGATGGCGGAGTTCTCGCCCGTCCTGCCGATGCGGGATGGAGGAGGAGGACGGTTCGGTCAGCCCATCTTCCCTCGGTCCAGGTCCGGCTCCGAGTCGGAGAGCGAGCTGTCCCAGAGCCTGGCCCGGACCAAGATCCGCTCCTACGGCAGCACGGCGAGCGTCACGGCCTCTCTGGGGGAGAAATACATAGAGCATCGGGTTTCAGACAGCGATACTCTGCAGGGCATCGCTCTGAAGTACGGTGTCACGGTAAGAATACTACACAAGTACTACAAGTACTGCGAGGATAGGTGACGTCACCTGGACAGGATGGTACTGCATACTGTTTATATTCACTGAGAGGAGTCCATCACATTATCATTGTGTATTATATGACACACACGATATAGACAGATGGATAGAAACCGAGTACTAGAACACACAGTAAAGTACTTAATATAACATAATAGCCTATAAATAAGAGACTAAATAAAAGAGATGACAAACTACGAACAAAAGACAAGTACCTCTGTGGTCCTTGATCTGCTGTCTCACCATCAACGGGTTTGATTCCCATTCCCAAAGTCAGATAATGTCCCAAAGAGAACTAGAGGCCACAAGTTTGACCCTCAGAGCAGACGGTGTTATTCTGGTGTTGCAAGAGCCTCTGGGAAGAGTTTGGACCCAATGCACTGGAGTCATGTCTGTATTCCACTTCATCTGGTGCAAACCGGGGCTCAGTTTTTACTTCTTGTTTCTTTTTTTTAAATTTTCTCAACATCACTGTTGAAAGTGAAGAGCAGCAGTGGCCTTCAGAGCTCACAGTAAACACACCAGGATCGTTATCTAAGATCCTGAGCCAATCGGAGACCAGTGCATTCAAGAAAGTAAACATTTTAACCAGCTGTTTGTTTACCAGCCCTGCACAGAAGTGATGATGATGATGTCATCGGTGCATGGTTCCGTGTTGTTATTGTTGGCAACGCTTGAAGCTGAAGTTGACTTGTGTACAGAACACGTCACTATTTCTTCACTGCTCTTAAATCAGCACTTGCTGGTGGCAGCACAGTGCAACTGCTGATTTGTAGCAGTGAAGTAGAAAGTGTGTTCTGGGAAAAGTAAATATCATTTTATCTGTGTGAAACTAATTTACTGTAAAGACCTGGTATAAGATTGGTAGATAGATTTGCATACTTGCTAAAGACCAACCCAGGATGAATAAGCATTGGAGGCATTATAGATGTTGGTATAGAAACATCTCTGTTGATTTGGTGTCACTCTTTTCAAAACAAAGTGGCACTGAAGTGCGACTTTAAAAATGTTTTTGTTTGCTCTCATGATGCATTTCATCCTCACGGCCTTCCCTGAAGGTATGCCAGTGAATCACAATGTATTTAAAACTGATGACATCATCATGGTTCTAAAAGGAGAAGCACAAATATCGAAGGTATATACACATATACGCTAACAACTGACTGACGCAACGTGAGCGGCATAAGCAACGTTTATAAAGCCTGTGACAGTGGTTTCATAATGAGGTCTTCACATGATAAGGCACAGGACAAAAACAGAGATGATACTGGTCGTGAAGTTAGAGCCACAACAGCAGTTTCTAACGCAATCTTTTTCAATGTCACCCTGATGTGCCAGATGGAGCAAGTCAAGAGAGCCAACAAGCTGTTCAGCAACGACTGCATCTTCTTGAGGAACAGCCTCAACATCCCCGTGGCGTCAGAGAAGCGCTCCATATTTAACGGACTCTCTCTAGAGTCACCCGATGGGGACGGTGAAACGGGCCAGGAGTTGGACACGCCCTGTGTTACGGCGCAGGATATTGAGGGACCCTCGCCGCCCCCGTCCCCGCCCTCAGAGGACTCCAAACCCGTCCAGCCAGAGGAGCTGTCAGCCAAAGACTTCTTACACAGACTAGACTTGCAAATAAAACAGTCAAAGCAGGCGGCGCGCAGGCTGAAAGAAGAGGAAGTAAGGTGAGACGATGAAAAAAAAATAACCCTGCTTCGTCTCGTCTGTGTGCGGATGTGAGCACTCCTTTACACCAGAATTCACAAGTATACCACTTCTGCCTCATTTAAATAAGGGATACCTGTCTGCAGCTCTTTCCTGGTTTGGTGTTTATCAGATGAATAAGTCATTTTTGTGTCTTTATAGTAGACAGAAATCATTTGTATGATAAATTCCAGATCACAACTCATGGACTCAGTGGTGGCAAAACCATCAGAAAAGAGAAAAACACTTTTTGACAGGTTTTATAAGGTACTGCGGAGGTTGATCTCCTGAAATAAAACGGTAGAGTACTCAACCAAACAGGATCAGCACTACAAGCACCCACCCTAAAGCTTCCTGTACTTTCAGATATTACTACCCCTCGAGCAGGGTCTTTTTCTGGGGTCAAAAGATTTCCCTGGACTATGATTTAAACTCTGGTCCTTGTGGTGGAAAAGCTCCTGCAAAGGCTCCTTGAATCACAGCTTCAGGCTTCAGATCCTTGTAGGAAATGAGGCCCAGCCCCTCGTCCCTGGGCTCAGTGGGTGCTCGTCAGAGGTCTCAGTCAACAGGAAATGCAGACAAAGCAGGCCAAAATGTTTTCACAGAGGGCAGATCCAAGATCAGAATCCGCCTCTTCGGATCAGATGTACTAGTCAGATGCCCCATCATGCAACACTTTAGCACTTGTTAAGCAGGAGATTTGGCGTGTCGAATCAGGTCCGTCTTTGTCCTCTTGACACTGCATGTTGAGACAGGGAACGCTTTCACATCTGCTTGGTAGTAATGGAAGCTTGGCAGATCCACATTGATAGAGAAACAGGTTTTTGTTGGTATTATCAGTTTAGTCAGGTCTGAGTCACAGTCCTCTGCTGACACACACACACACACACACACACACATTTATACACAATTTATAGTGTAATATTCTATAATTTATATATTTTTTAGCATAAGAGCCAGAAATCCTTCCATCAATATTTAGTAAAACATCCCATGACTGCATTATATCACTAACTCAATTCAAACTCATTTAAAGGACTATCTTAATGTGACAAACAGTCATTGGTCCATGTGTACTCTATGTAAGCAAAGTATTTCATTATTTTATGGCCACCAACTAGAATAATATTTTCTTTCAGTTTTGTCAGGATGTGCCAGTAACTGTAAACCTGTGTCGTGTTTGACGAAGCCATGATCCTTGAGCAAACATAGAGACAAAGATTTTGTTTACCTGTGAGCCGAGGCAAAAGCCAAGCTTTGGGATAAGCTTATGTCTGACTCCAGCCACATGTAAGGTTGACCTTTAGACAAACAGAGGCTCACTTTGTTGTATCCACACGGTCACAGAGCAAACACAGAGCGTACGCCTCCCTGGCTGTCTCCTGAGGATGAAACCAACCACAAGATTCACTGAAGCAAATGAAGAGTTGAACAGCTAATTGAGACATTACCATTTACATTTGATCCGTAACTATGGATTGACATCAAGACACTTTTTTTGGGTCTTATTCAACAAACTGAATATTCTGCAATTTGCTGTTGGGTCCAAACACATCTGTCAGAGTTAAAAAAATATTATAAAGGATAATTCAACGAGAAGATTATGACAATCGGGTGATTAGAATATCACAAATGCCTAATGCCCAAAATATTTTAATGCTGTAAACATACGCACAGGAAGTGGAATAATTTCTCTTTGTTTGTTTTTGTTCTTGAACAAAGAAACTTCATAAATCTGATCTTGTTTAGTATCGAAAGTCTAAAGACCATTAAGTGTAAATATAGACAGATGCCTTGTTGCCGACAGACAGACTAACTTTACAATTTGCTTAAAGGTGCTTTTAAACAGACTATTGCTGGGTGAGACAGATCTCAGTTCTGCCTTCCGCTGCATCCCTGGAGGAAATCAATAACTTTGGACCGTTTCGGGCCAATTAGCTTTCAGGCTTCTTGGAAAGTTTCAAGGATTGATTACCTTGCTCCTTTGGGATGTTTTCCAGTTGGAGAAAATTCACCACTCTGTAGAAACTTTCTTTGAGCCTCCTACTTTGACTGTTCTCTCTCCTCTCTTCAAAGTTATGGTGTAAAGCCCCTCTAATCCATCCTAGATTGATTTTGATCATTACTCAATTCATCCCCTAACTACAAATATCTCTCTTCTGCTCTGAGTGTAGCAGCTCTTTTGACAGCTTTTATTTGTGAAGTAAGTTTTCGAAAACTTTAAAATTCATGATGTTAACCAACATATTTGTTAGCGTTGCACTTAAAGGCTCTATTCTGTCAAGATGAGTCTTCAGCCTTGACCAAGAGCAACGCGGCCGTTCGATCAGCCTCATCTATTATTCACACACTCACCTTAGACACTGTGTTGACGAAGACAGGAAGGGGAAAGGAAGCGTGTGTGGGCAGTTATATTAAAACCTGTTACCACTGTGGAACATTTACCATGAAAATTAAAGGTTGTAAATCTTTTTCTCATTTGCAGGAGCAACGAAGAGAACTACTTGGCGCCTACAACATCATACCAGGAGATATGAGAGACTCGTCTGTTTACCTGAAGCCCTGTACCGGAAGCACACACACACACACACACACACACACACACACACACACACACACACACCCACACACACACACACACACACACACACACACACACACACACACACACACACACACACACACACACACACACACACACACACACACACACACACAC